AATGCGTGTTCCAGGGTTTAAGGGCAGGCCTGGATCCCCAGGCTGGGATGGAATAGGGTGGGTGGGCTGGCTGGTTTTCCATGCCCCAAAATATCTCAAGAGGCATCTTTGATGTATTTTCTTTTGTGAAGTTTGGGAAGCTGATGTGGATTTAAAAGGAAAAAAAAAAATCTGGATTTCTCCTTCTTTCAGGCAGGCAGATACGTGGCGTCAGCCAGGGATGTTGGGGCTGTTGTGCAGAGTCACTGTGACCTGCCAGAGGAAAGGAAATTCTAAGCAATACAAATATCCTGTTTTCAGTGCAGTTTCCTCATTCGTGGTTTGTTGAAAATTCTACAAGAAAATTTCTGGCATGTGCTATGTCTACACCCATTAATCAGGATAGGGGAGATGCAAGGAGAAATGTGAAGTGCCTTCAGCACTCCAGACTTCACGTAGGTAAATAGAGGGTTTTCTAGAAGTGTCTCTGTGATATAACTAATTCCTTTTTAAAAATAGGCTAGAATATTTGGTCCTACTGCAGAAAAGCTCTGTTTCCCATACTGTTGGTGGTATATCTATGTAAAATAGCTAAAATCAGCATGCCCTTACAGCCTTCCAGGGTGCTTATGTGGCAGCTCTGTACCTTGACATTGTACCCGTAGCACAGTCCGGGTGTTTGTGTTCCTCATTTGTTTCAGCAGGGGGGCTCATGCTTTTTCCATATCAGGCTAATAGGAAAGCCTGGTTGTTAGGTTCCGCCCAGTCTCTAGTGAAACAGCTGTGAGGAAAAGATAGCACCAAGGGTTTTCTGTGCCTCTCTTATGTGGAATCTCTGTTGTGTCACTGTTCAAAAATACCACCAGTTTAATGCCTGCCAACTAGATTGCACTACTGGGATAACAAGAAGTATTTAGCAATAGCAGAAGACATATCAAAGGTGAAACTGAGCGGTGTTCTCTGCAGTTGTGTAACAGTCTTAGTTTTGGTAGCTTCTTAATTTAGTGGGTGTTCGTAGGTGGAAGTCTGCCTATGTGCCTTATCTGTTGTGCAACAGATGTTTTCCTCTGACATATCCTCCATGATGCTTTTTCTTTTTTCCAGATTGTCCCCAGCCACCACAGCCTGAGAATGGTGGCTATAAATGCCACCCTAGCCCCTGCAACAACCCTCTGACTTCAGGCAGTGTCATAGAGTATTTGTGCGTCGAAGGCTACATGCTGAAAGGAGATTATAAATACTTGACCTGCAAGAATGGAGAGTGGAACCCAGCCATGGAAGTCAGCTGCAGGCTGAGCCCGGGTGAGTGCTCCCTGGCTCCAGTGGAACAGTCAGAATTGCTCTTGCGTTGGCTTGTCGGATTATCCTTAAACACTGAGTCAGTGTGGTGCTGAGGAAGTCCATACAACTCATTGCTCCAGCAATTTCAGAAATGCGGCTCGCAATCACAGCTCTCCATTAAAAACATCTCTTCTGCAGCAGCCCGTCAGATGCAGGCTCAGAGTCCCTCCCACAAGGAGACAACCCACAGAAAGGAGTATAATGGAGGCAACTTGTTACTTATGTGGAGCCTCTTATTTTGACAGCTCTCATCCTAGAAATGGGGGAGGCCTTAACTGAAGCATTTTCCATAATGTCTGGTTTTGCTTCCGATGGGTTTGACAGTACATCTCCCTCAGTGATGTCCCCATCTGTCCACATGTGTGTGTGTACGTAGAGCCGATCTTCCTTGTAAACAGGTTAAGTAACTGTTGGCCTCCTATGGCTAAGAGCTTGATGGTGCTGTTTGTACTGGCAGGAAAGGACATTGCTGACAAATTATTCCTGCTTCTCGCCAAATGGAAGTGGACAGCTTTTGTTTTGTGGGTCTCTCCCCGCTGAACAGGAATTCCTCCATCAAAGCAGGACAGTAAAAAAGGTTTGCAGGAAAATGTTCATCATACAGCTCTTAGTTTGCCTACAGCTCTTCTGGTTTTAAAAGCATGCATACTGGATAAAGGGAGAACTCCCCTCCCCTCTTCAAGCTTGGCTTCTTGATAGAGTCTTACTGCTCAGTCATCCTGAGTCAGCAAGATATATGCTCCGGAATTAAGTCTTGTAATCCATAAAGCAATATATGTTAGCTTAATCAGAAGGAAACACAAAAGCACCTTCCAAGTTCTTTATGGAACTCACTGCATACCTGTGATCTCTGGAACATCTTGTCCTGTCCCAAAGACGTGGTCTTCTCAGTGTCTGTTGCAGCCACTCCAATAGCCCCTTCTGGTGAGGTATAAGGAAGGGAACTGGGAGTTCATCTGGCAGCAACTAGATCCTGAAGAGGCTTTTCAAATTCAGCATAATTCTTCCTTTCCACAGCGGTCCCCCTTCTTCTTGCTGCACCCAGGCCAGATAACAAAG